TTGACTGTGTGGATCAAAATAAACTGTGGAAAATTCTGAAAGAGATGGGAATACAAGACCACCTGACCTGCCTCTTCAGAAATCTGTATGCAGGTCAGGAAGCAATAGTTAGAGCTGGACACGGAACAGCAGACTGGTTCCAAATAGGAAAAGGAGTACATCAAAGCTGTATATTGTCATCCTGCTTATTTAACTTATATTCAGAGTACATCATGAGAAACGCTGGGCTGGAGGAAGCACAAGCTGAAATCAAGATTGCTGGGAGAAATATCAGCCTCAGATATGCCGATGACACCACCCTTATGGCAGAAAGTGAAGAGGAAGTAAAGATCCTCTTGGTGAAAGTGAAAGAGGAAAGTGAAAAAGTTGGCTTAAAGCTCAACATTCAGAAAATGAAGATCATGGCATCTGGTCCCATCACTTAAATGGCAAATAGATGGGGAAACAGTGGAAACAGTGGCAGACTTTATTTTTGTGGCCTCCAAAATCACTGCAGATGGCGACTGCAGCCATGAAATTAAAAAACACTCACTCCTTGGAAGAAATGTTATGACCAATAGCATATTAAAAAGCAGAGACATTACTTTACCAACAAAGGTCCATCTAGTCCAGGCTATGGTTTTTCCAGTGGTCATGAATGGATGTGAGAGTTGGACTATAAAGAAAGCTGAGCGCCAAAGAATTGATACTTTTGAACTGTGGTGTTGGAGAAGACTCTTGAGAGTCCCTTGGACTGCAAGGAGATCCAACCAGTCCATCCTAAAGGAGATCAGTCCTGAGTGTTCATTGGAAGGGCTGATGTTGAAGCTGAAACTCCAATACTTTGGCTACCTGATGTGAAGAACTGACTCATTTGCAAAGACCCTGATGCTGGGAGAGATTGAAGGTGGGAGGAGAAGTGGACGACAGAGGATGAGATGGTTGGATGGCATTACCGACTCAATGGACATGAATTTGAGTAAATTCCAGGAGTCGGTGGTAGACAGGGAGGCCTGGTGTGCTGCAGTCCATGGGGTTGCAAAGAGTCAGACATGACTGAGCGACTGGACTGAACTGACACCTGAATTTGCTAAGGGGGAACTGTGTTCACCACTTGGAGAACACACTAAGGAATGGGCCAAGTCCTTACTTCCTTGCAGTTGGCAGCCAGGCAAGCAGATAGAGAGAGCTCAGGGGGGCTGGGAGAGGTTTGGAGGATATTAAGAATTCTATGAGAAGGATGAAGAGAGCTTCTTATAGGTCCATATAAGAGTTTTGATAATAGGGTTGCCTGATTGATGGCATTATAGGCCCAGGAAGTTTGTTCCTTTAATGAGAAGACTGTTTTTTATTTTTACTTTTGTTGCCATTCTGTATAATAAATCATACCCTTTATACTTTATCAACATTATGTTAATTTGTGACCATCTGTTGCTGACATTCCATCAAGCACTGATACCCCTGTGAAAGCCATACAAGCAGACACCCTTCACTGGTGTGATGATTGGAAAGGAGTATTAGGCTCCCTCCCTGCCCCCACTGCAAAATCTCCCAGTTATTTTTAGAATTTTCAAAAGGGCAGCTCAAGTGATTTTATGAATAAGACTATTGGCTTCCTTCCTGAAGGCATTTTTTCTGAATCATCTAGTTATGACTATGTGCACTGGCTACAAAAACGCATGGTGACACCTCGGCCCTTCTAGTGATCATTTAAGATCGCCAATGATACCACTCTAATGGCCAAAAGCAAAGTGGAATTAAAGAGCCTCTTGATGAGGGTGAAAGAGGAGAGTGAAAAAGCTGGCTTAAAATTAAACGTTCAAAAAACTAAGATCGTGGTATCCAGTACCATCACTTCGTGGCAAATAGATCAGGAAAAAATGTAAACAGTGGCAGATTTTATTTTCTTGGGCTCCAAAATCATTGTGAATGGTGACTGCAGCCATGAAATTAAAGGAAATGTGCTCCTTGAAAGAAAGGCTATGACAAACCTAGACAGCATATTAAAAAGCAGATATATCACTTTGTGAACAAAGGTTCATATAGTCAAAGCTATGGGTTTTCCAGTAGTCTGATGCTGAGAAAGATTGAGGGCAGGAGGAGAAGGGGGAGACAGAGGATGAGATGGCCGGATGGCACCACCGACTGAGACATGAGTTTGGGCAAACTCCAGGAGATAGTAAAAGACTGGCAAGCCTGATGTGCTGTAGTTCATAGGGATGCAAGGAATCAGATACGGCTTAGCTACTGAACAGCATCAATGATGTGTGTGTCAAAGGTGTGAACTCCAGTTGACCTCAGAGTTTTCAGTTGGGAAACCCTGACTTTGATAAGTCTACGATTTGACTGTAAGGCATGTAAAATATGACTATGACTTCAAGGGCAGAGTCAAATGGGACTGAGCACAAAGCAGCCTTAAATTGTTGGGAGACTGAATTTGGCACCAACTTTTTGTGGGAAATTTAGCTATATGTATTAAAAACTTTTAAATGAGCATACCTTTTGCCTCAGCAATTCCTTGTCTGGAATTTACCTGAGTGTGTGTGTAATGACAGAGCTTATAAAGATATTTTGTGAATAATAGGAAGATTGGTTAAAGTACATAACAAACACTGAATACCATGTGCCCATTAAATATAAAGTTGTAGAAAGATTTGAATGACAGGGAACCATGTCATTCCATGAACCATGAACATGTTGCAAAATAGCAGTTTTACAAAATATTAATAGTAATAGCTACCATCTAGTGTGTGTGTGCACGCTTAGTTGTGCCGACTCTCCACAAAGCCCGCCAGGCTTCCCTGTTCATAGAATTTTCCAGGCAAGAGTACTGGCATGGGTTGCTGTTTCCTACTCCAGGGGAGCTCCTGACCCAGGGATTGAACCTTGGTCTCTTGCCTCTCCTGCATTCTGTTCAGTTCAGTTGCTCAGTCGTGTCCGACTCTTTGCTACCCCATGGACTGCAGCACACCATGCCTCCTTGTCCATTACCAACTCCCAGAGTTTACTCAAACTCATGTCCATTGAGTTGGTGATGCCATCCAACCATCTCATCCTCTGTCGTCCCCTTCTCCTCCTGCCCTCAATCTTTCCCAGCATCAGGGTCTTTTCAAATGAGTCAGCTCTTCACATCAGGTGGCCAAAGTATTGGAGACTCAGCTTCAACATCAGTCCTTCCAATGAACACTCAGGACTGCTTTTCTTTAGGATGGACTCCTGCATTGGCCAGCGGATTCTTCATCACTGAGGTACCTAGGAAGCCCCAGCATCTATTAAGTGCTATCTAATGACATTACATACATTATCAGTGCTTTACACACATTATCTCATTTAATGTAACTATCCTGAGAGAGCCTTTCCCCTGATTACCAATAACCACTTAAAGACTAAGGAACTAGTTCAGGTCTCCAGGGTTTGGGACAGCCAGAACTCAGACACAGACTATCTGACTCCAGAGATGATGATGTTCATCCCTGTACTTTGTATACAGGCCCATTTTTGTTTTTAAAGAAAATATGTATGCAGAGAAAAAGACTAAAAGCAGATGGTTTGTGGCTGATGGGTACAGATGATTTTCATCTATTTCTTGATATGTAGTAACAGAGGGACAAAAAGCTTAGTTAAATGGAAAGGAAAGACTGTTAGATTAAGAACACATCTAGGGACTTCCCTGGTGGTCCAGTGGTTAAGACTCCGTGCTCCCACTGCAGGAAGCATTGGTTTGATCCCTGCCCGGAACTAAGATCTTCTGGCTGAAACAGTGGGTGCTGTGGGGTCAAAAAAAAGAGAACACACTTAGTAGTTGTCCCAATAACCAGGCAGTATGAATACTGGGCAGTTATTCTGTTCAGAGAGGGTGAGCAGAGGGCAGTGGTCTGAGAAACTGAGTCCCCATTTATCCTCCTAACTTTTGACCTTGTGCAAAATGGCCTCATTTGGACCAGGTGGGTCATCTTAAAATTAGGAAGGTAGTCTTTAGGTTCCTTCCTCCCTAATATTCTGTTGCCTAAAATATCCAAACACTAAATGAGAAAACAGGCATTTGAAAATAGTTGATTTTGTTCAGTCTCTAAGTTATGTCTGACTCTTTCTGACTCCATGGACTGCAGCCGACCATGCTCCTCTGTCCATGGAATTCTGCAGCAAGAAGATTGAGTGGGTTGCCATTTCCTTCTCCAGGGGCTCTTTCTGACCCAGGGATCAAACCTGTGCCTCCTGCTTGCAGGCGGATTCTTTACTATTAAGTAGGCAAATTCTTTACCACTGAGCCAGCTGTGAAGCTTAGCCCAAAGTAAAATGTTAACTTAAAAGTTAAAACGACTCATTTCTTTACAATGCAATGCAATTGTGAAATGCTGGCTTTAATCTTAAATTTTCGAACAGAATTTGATGGCAATGATCCGCTTGAGAAAGCGTTAGGAAGAGGTTATGAACTCTTGTCCTGAATCTGCACACTCTCACAGCTTTTCTACACGATCAGACTATTGAACAGATGCATGTATTACAGGATTGTGAGGAACATATTTAAACTATTCGTTGTAATTCTTTCTTTTCTTCTTCTTCTTTTTTTTTAAACTATTCGTTGTAATATTTTCATTCAAAAAGTTTTGTTTATCCCTCCGGACACCCTTAGATTCAGTTTCTGATTTTATTGGCCCTGGGACATAGGAACCTCATTTCTCAGAAGCTCATTCATTAGAGACCGCCTACTTGCCCTGGGAGTGGACAATATGTGTGACAGGAAAAAACCTCGGTGCCAGGGTCCCCTGGTACTTAGGGGTGTGGGACACTGGCAGTGGCCAAATCCGCCCAGGCCAGACCAGGTATTGATCCGCCCGGGGTAGCATTTTCTGGTCTCCAAGGGTACTCCCCACTGTCTATTTCATACCAGCCCCGGAAGCAGAAGATGTAGCTTTGTCCCCGCAAGCCCAGGAACAGTCTTCTCCCTGACCCCTTCCCCGCGGCCGGGTGACGGTCAGGTCCAGTACCTGGCGGGGTCCACTAATGACACTAGCGTGCTCTCAGCCCAGACGCCGGGCGCTTATCGCAGCCAGGCAGGCAGCGCCACGCCTTTCACGTGCCCTCGGGCATCGACCCCGAGGGAGCTGGGGCGCGAGGGAGGGGCCGCTGCCGGGCGCCGTCCCGGTCAGCAGTCTAAAGCTTGCCAAGTGAAGCTGGAGCGGTGCTGCCTGCGCTCGCTCGTCGGCCCCCGACCGCCGGCTCGCCGCCCGCTCTCTCCGACGTGACGGTAACCCGGGGCCAGTGCCTTCCCAGGTCAGCCGCTGCGCCGGTGAGTGCGGGGCGCTGGGGGGGCGCGCGGGCGCGGTGGGTGGGCTGCCGCCGGGGCCGTGGGCGTCGGTCCCAGCAAGTCGCCCCCGGCCGGGCTCTGCCGCCGGCGCCGACTGTGTTCTGAATCCCGCGCCGTTACCGGGCGAGTCCCGAGCGCGCGAGATGCTAGAGGGAGTCCCCGGCGATCAGACAGGGCCTGGGGAGACGCTGGAAGGAGGAAAGGAGCCAGGGAGTTTTGGTAAAAGCTTTCCACCATTTAGGAAGCACTGTACGTATGCCTGATGTCATTGTTAAGTAGGAGCTGCTTCCGTAGGATATATTTGAGGGTCCGGCTGACTCAGCGTTTTATATAAATGATTGTTCGTGCTCTGCCTCTGAGCACAACAGCTCCTGAGATTGAAGCCCTCGGTTAAAACTGAACCGCTAACTGAGTGAGTAAATTGTGAAAACCTTTTGGAATATGTGGCATGAAAGGTTCGTGGCTATTGCTTGTGCGTTTGGTAGGCAATAGAAAACTGTACAATTGAAATGACTGGGTTTTAATTATTCACTCTCAGTTTCATTTGAAAGTGAATATGAAACAGGCTGAAAATTTAGACTTCCTCCCCCCCCCCCCCCGCCCCCCAAGAAAACAGCTCCTTGGTGCAACCGATTTCGTGTCTGGTACTGTGTGTCGAAAATTCATGCTTTTGAACTATGGTGTTGGAGAAGACTCTTGAGAGCCCCTTGGACTGCAAGGAGATCCAACCAGTCCATCCTAAAGGAGATCAGTCCTGGGTGTTCATTGGAAGGACTGATGCTGAAGCTGAAACTCCAGTACTTTGGTCACCTCATGCGAAGAGTTGACTCATTGGAAAAGACCCTGATGCTGGGAGGGATTGGGGGCAGGAGGAGAAGAGGACGGCAGAGAATGAGATGGCTGGATGGCATCACCGACTCGATGGACATGGGTTTGAGTAAGCTCTGGGAGTTGGTGATGGACAGGGAGGCCTGGCATGCTGCGATTCATGGGGTCGCAAAGATTTGGACACGACTGAGCGACTGAACTGAACTGAACTAAGTGTGTGTTAGCCAGTTGGTAAAACTCTTACCTTTCCCCAAATGTATGATATTGGATAGATAAAAAGTTATTGAGTATGGAGGTAGCAGAGAAACTTGTTAATATTGGTACCTTTAAAGGGATTAGCCGATATATTCTATGCCTATTTTTTCTCCCTAGGACATAAAGTTTGTCCACAACTTTGGTTGGTGTGGTAAAGCGTTATTGAGCTGCCTTTTGTAATTTTTCTGTGGATAGTTGACTCAGTGATTAACTTCAAAGAATTAACCAGCTTATTAAAAATACTTACTAAAAATGCTACTGAAGTTAGAATACAGAAAAATATATAACCAAAAAAGTTAGATTGTAAATCTAGCAAACAGTTAAAAAAATACCCATGATGTTGCTTCATTTGATTTTCTCACTCAGTGGTAGAAATATAAAAGCTCATTCCACTTTCAGGAAAAAAAAGATTTATAGTAACAAATGCTTATTGGTCATCTTTATTCTGGACCCTGAACATTTAGCTAGAACTCCTTTAGGTGCTGTTGCATTAAAATAATATTAAAATACACTTACAGCCAAAATCAATTTCTACATTTATTTGTGTTAAGCGTTCATGAGCTTTTGAGGCAAGCCTAAGTATTACAAATGGAAAGGGAAATGCACCAAGAAAAGAGTTACTGTGGGGGAGTACATTTGAATGTATGTGGACAGCAAATTAAAGTTACATCTTGGAAGCTAGAATAAAAATGGACCAATCAGTCACACAATTCAGTGAGGACAAAGGCAGGAAATATACATGAGCTCCTTAGAGAGGCTTTCCCTGGCATCTACGTCTGAGGGAAATGTCTTATATCCCAGAAGCTACAGCCGAGACTGAAGTATAGCGGTGGAAGAGTCTCCTGTGTGCCCACCCATAGTACATGCAATCGTGCATTTTCTGGAACTGCTTGCTGTAGTTGTCATTCTCCTTACCATAAGTATTGTGAGAAACACTCGTAGGATGCTAAGCCTCTATGGTCCCACATGCTGTGGTTTGATAGTTTGGGAATAAATCTGGATTTTATAGAGGGGCAGGTAGACCTCATGTCTTCAGATACTCTGTGTCTCTCAGGCATTTCTGACAGAAGTTTGGTATCAGTTGAAGGTTATATCAAGTGAGAAGTTTTATTCTATGTTGCTTACTGGGGTTAGAGGTTAAGGTTGAGCTCTTTTAGTGAAACTTAAAGAACCTGAATGACCATCCTTGATACAGGATATAGAGGTCTGTGCTATGCTGTGTTCAGTCTCTCAGTCATGTCTGACTCTTTGCGACCTCATGGACTGTAACCTGCCAGGCTCTTCTGTCCTTGGAGATTCTTCAGGCAAGAACACTGGAGTGGGTTTCCATGCCCTCCTCCAGGGGGTCTTCCCAACCCAGGGGTCGAACCGATGTCTTCCTCATTGCAGGTGGATTCTTTACTGTCTGAACCACCAGAGAAGCCCAGGAGTACTGGAGTGGGTATCCTATCCCTTCTCTGGGAACCCTATTCCGACCCAGGAATCAACCAGGGTCTCCTGCATTGCAGGTGGATTCTTTACCAGCTGAGCTACCAGGGAAGCCCATATAGGTCTACAGTAAGCTAAAGTTTATGCTTTAAAAAAATCAGTTCTGAGTTCAGGATGTGAACCAATAATGATGGAGTATCTAGATGAATTTGGCTTCATAGTTTTTTTTTTTTTCTTTCCAACAGCAGTTTTATGAGATCTAATTCACATATCATACAGTTCATACCTATTTAAAGTATACATTCTCTGCAGTCTTCACATTTTCATCATTCTTGCCCCTAACAACCAATTAACACTCACCCCTTCTTCTCACCATAATCCCTTTAACCCCTGTAGTTTTTTGGAAACCAGTATTCTGCTTCACAAGGAGACTATTAGAAAGTGGACATCTAATTTTTGAGCCACATACTTAGCTTGTTTATAGAAATAAGTAAAATATTCAGAGAATCATAGCATTGAAAGTTAGTGGTGTTCTGTTGTTTAAAATAGGTGTGAGTGCAGCAGAAGCGCTGCCTGCATCCCAATTCCAGTGAAGAAGTTTTGTTTTTGGCAGGAAGGGTGGAATGAAATCTTAAAACTCCATTGAAAATGCTGATTACTAGCTCAGTCCCTTTGCAACTGAAAAGACCTGTTACTCTTTAGAGCAATGGTTGGCTGGAAATTACTGCTTAGATGCAGGTAGCAGTAGGTAGTTCTCTGTCATTTCACAGGATTTAAGTTCTTATCTGGAAGCATAAAAATGAAAGTCTCTAGAACGCAGCAAGCCCTGTTAGCTCCCTCTGAAGATACTTGAGCTGAGTGTCTTACAAGGAAAGAGGAAAGATTGCCTGAGGGGGTACCCAAACTTCAGATGTTTTGTACAGGAGACCTGTTTCTTCTCTTCTCGTCCTGCTGCGTGGGGAGTTCTACGCTGACCACACCCTGACTTCACCCTGCTGCTGCCGCTGCTGCTGCTAAGTCGCTTCAGTCGTGTCCGACTCTGTGCGACCCCATAGATGGCAGCCCACCAGGCTCCCCCGTCCCTGGGATTCTCCAGGCAAGAGCACTGGAGTGGGTTGCCATTTCCTTCTCCAATGACTTCACCCTAGAGGAGTGAAAAAAAGGGTCGCAAAAGGTAGAGGGACCACACAGAATCCTTAGAAAGGGAGAATAAAGTATTTCATTTTAAAACTTTTCCTCCACCATCCCATATTAGTTTGGAATGCCATATGAGAGTTGGACCATAAAGAAGGCTGAACGCTGAAAAATTGATGCTTTCAAAATGTGGTGTTGGAGAAGACTCTTGAGAGTCCCTTGGACTGCAAGGAGATCAAACCAGTCCATCCTAAAGGAAATCAACCCTGCATGTTCATTGGAAGGACTGATGCTGAAGCTGAAGTTCCAATTCTTTGGCTACCTGATGTGAAGAATGGACTCACTGGAAAAGACCCTGATGCTGGGAAAGATTGAAGGCAGCAGGAGAAGGGGACGACAGAGGATGAGATGGTTGGATGGCATCACCATCTCGATGGACATGAGTTTGAGCATGCTCTGGGAGTTGGTGATGGACAGGGAAACCTGGTGTACTGCAGTCCATTGGATTGCCAAGAGTCAGACACGACTGAGCAACTGGACAGAATTGAAATTAAAAAAATTTTGAGAAGCTGAAGCAGTAGCTATATTTTCCATCCGCACTTTTCTCCAATACTTTGGCCACCTGATGTGAAGAATGAACTCATTGGAAAAGACCCTGATGCTGGGAAAGATTGAGGGCAGGAGGAGAAGGGGATGACAGATAAGATGGCTGGATGGCATCATCGATTCAATGAATGTGAATTTGAGCAAATTCTGGGAGATAGTGAAGGACAGGGAAGCCTGGTGGATTGCAGTCCATGTGGTTGCAAAGACTTGGACATGACTGTGAGTGAACAGCAACAACAAAGATAAAATTACCAGGTTTTCAGAATTAATAAAAGGAAATGGGCATTAACTGGTGAATGCTTGCTGTCTGCAGGTGGTTTTTATATTTATTCTCATTTTTTGTTCATGCCAAGCCTTTCAGGGAGGTATTCGAGTTTCGTACTTACAGAGGAGGAGGCAGAGAATTGACAGGGTTATTTATTAACAGGACAAAGTACTTTATTAAAGTTTACCAACCCTTTTTTTTTTGTTTTTAAACTTAGCCTGGTCATTTGTTTCACATTTTCTTTCCATGTTCACAGAACAGCACAGTTCATTGTAAAGGTGTGCAGGGACAGTGAAAAGAGGCTGTGAGAGCAGGGAGCCTCAGACCTACCTAACTTGGGTCTAGTCACTGTGCCATGAAATCTCTTCATCTGTCTGGACCACAGTTTCTTCATGGGACTAAAGAATTTAGGAATTTGAGCAAGAGTGGTCTGATTTTATTTAAGGAGTCCAGAAGTGGAATATGGGTTAGTAGAAATTGCCAGAATAGTAGTAAGTGTTAGGTATGCTGAGAATTCTTAGTATTTTTATGTGATCCAACAACAAAGGATTCTGCAAACCATCTATTTTGATTTAGAATCTTTCTGATCCATTTCTCCTTTTCATAACATAGGGAGACTGTTATATGTCT